TTCTGATTGACTGACATTTCCAAAAACATCAGTTATGTGTAGATACTAATGCGACACGAAACGAATGATCCTAAGTAGAAAATTTGAAAACCTTTTAAGGTGATTACCATCAATTTTAACAGTGACTTAAGCACTTAACAGCTTTTAAACTCAACGACAGTTTTCGAATAACGAACTTAACGCCGCCATCTTGATTAAGGTCACCTGTCAAAATGGCGCGCTTTTCAGTAATTACTAGCGACATCTGTTGGATTAGTTTTGTAAACATTAACGCTTTTAAACGAATTGAAGTTTTATTATCACTACCATACTTTTCGTCGTATGTGTGTATGTTTAGATTTTTAAAACTATATTACAAATTTTGATGGTTTTTAATAAGATTTATTGCGTACGAATTGCAGACAAAAGTTGTCATTTAGAAGAACTAAAAACATGGTTATTGATTGGTACGGTATTCAATAGTAAGAATCCTTTAGAATCAATCATGATAAAGCCAATACTTCACTGAATTCTTCAAATTGTATGCCACGTGTATACGTGTTCTCACTACAAGCAAACAAATTCTTGGAATTTACAAACAAATGTTTTAAGAAAATTCGTAATAGAAAAGTTATTGGGTAGGTTAGTATAACACCATTTTCTTCGACGACATTTATTATTTTCATAGTCTACCGCAATTTCTAACTATTATGTATTCATTAACTTTAATACTTACAAGTGTGGGAGAGCCATGGTTCGGCACGAATGGGCCGGCTCGAGCGGAGTGATACCACGGCCGAGCAGAAAACCGACGTGAAACAACGCTTGCGTTGTATTTCGTCGTGTGAGTGAGGTTACCGAAGGCCCAATTACCACCTAGTTCCGGTGTCCCGAATCGCCGAATTCTCCATAATCCTTAAATTCCCAATTCCCAAAAGGCCAATAACGCACTTGTAACGCCTTGGTGTTTCGAGTGTCCATGGGCGGCGCCGATTGCTTACCATCCGTGATCCGTCTGCTCGTTTACCGACTCATGCTATAAAAAAAATATACTTTAAAATCTGTCCGTGTAGCCATTATATTCTACAGTAGTTTAGTTTTCGCCAGTTTTGTGATAAGATTAGTTCCTATCGTGCTAAGTAATTAGTTTTTCCCTCGTACGTTGCTCTACAACGTTTTAAAAAAAATCAGTCGAATCGAATCCAAAGCATTCAAACCTACAATCATTTCATTAATATCAAATCCAGAAATCGTCATACAATATTACATAACACTTCAGCTAATTACAATAAGCAATTACAATGATTATCCACTATAAACCAAGATACCAATCAGTGATCTTATCTATTGGAGTATTAGGACGCCGCGTGGGCCATTCCACGGCTCTCATCTAGTTAATGACCTGTCGAATCAGTTCTTACCAAGGACTATAATAATACAGCAGGTTATTTTACTGAATGTCGTGTGATGTCGTGGTGGCCCGGAGGTTTAAGACGTTAGCTTCTCATGCATGAGAGTGCGGGTTCCAAACCTACCAACGGCAAGTACCAATGTGACCGTTTCCGAGTTATATGTACTTCTAAGATTACCTAGACAAACGGTGAAGGAAAACATCGTGAGCAAACCTGGGCTTTTAATTTCTAATTATAAGTTTGACATTGCCAACCCGCATTGAGCAAGCGTGGTGATTGATGCTCAAACCTTCTCCGTGGGAGGAGAGGCCTTCGGTCAGCAGGCTAGCAGCTACTAGGCTGTTGATGATGATGATGATTTTACTGAATAACTTGGCAAACGAGCAGACCGGTATCCGTAACATTAAGTGCGTTGCTCGCCTTTGGGTAGACAGTAATCTCGGACCCTACAGCCAAAACGTTCGTCGTTTCAAGACGCGTCGGTTTTCTGAATGTGCTAACTTCCTATTATTTAACCGACTTCAAAAAAGAAGGAGGTTCTCAATTTGACCTGTAAGCATGTATGTGGTGTTTGTGCACGATTATCTCACTATTGGCTGAACTGATTGTGATGCGCCTTTCAGAAAAATGTTTGTGTCAAACTTCAAAAAAAGTGGCGGTTGTAGTCGGTTTTTTTAAACGTAGCTTATAAAAGAACTGTTTTAAATAGTGATTTATTAATCTACATATTTGACTCATCATTAGCTTCGTCATCATATCAGACATAAGATATAGAAGCCACTACCGAGCATTGGTTCCCCGAAGACATCCAGATAGACGAGTTGAAAGCTATCTACATCTAGTACCTCGCAGCTTCCTTTTACAGATTGTCTGTCCACCTTGCTGTGGAAATTACCTATTTAGTACATTGGTCTTAGAGAAGAAACACCAACATAATCTTAGAGATTATTTAGTACTTACTAATAAAAACCTCACGCCTGTCTCCCATGGGAGTAGGCAGACACTATGGAAATTCTTGCGTACCTCTTTCACTTCCCCAACATTATGATTATTTAGTACTAGCTACTTTCGCGCGGTTTCACTCGCTCTGCTCGGCGCCTATTAATCGTAGCGTGATATTTTATAGCATATAGCATTCCTTGGTAAATGGCCTATCCAACACAGAAAGAATTTTTCAAATCGGACCAGGAGTTTCGCAGATTAGCGCGTTCAAACAAACAAACAAAAAAACAAACTCTTCAGCTTTATAATATTAGTATAGATGTTTCAAAATACACCCTGTACCTAATAAAATTCATTTCGTGCCCATTAATGAAAAAAAAACAGAATATTATTTTGATTTTCATAATGATAGTTTATCTGCTATTCCTTTGTAATGATAATAATTAAGTTTTAGTGTCCAGGGACGATGATTTATGTACGAGTGTGTAAATGGATGTGGTTTTTGATGAATCATGATTTCGTTTCTTTCAAGGACAAAGGAAACCGATCTAAAGGTATATTCAAGTATTCCCATGTTTTTTAACAGTTATTAGGACCGCCTCGTTGGCCGAGTGGTTGCAAGTGCGACTGCCGAGGAGAAGGGGTCTCGGGTTCGATTCTCGGGTCGTGGAAAGTATTACTGGGTTTTAAAAAATCTCAGTAGTAGCACGGAGTCTGGAAATGTGCCCGGTTTATGGCAATAGGCTCACCCCCTATTACATGGGTCTCATAACATAAATAGTGAAAAGTGGGTGTTACATTGTACAGTGGCATTAAGTGCCATAATGTGCACCTCTGCCTACCCCTTCGGGAATAAAAGGCGTGATGTTATGTTATTAGGAAAAGGGTTATTCAGCAGTCGTCTTGAGGCTGATATGATGATAATAATATTCCATGAGATAGTGATTCATTAAGTTCAAATGGCATAGTCTGTGCTGCTGTAGCAAACAATACAAGCTCATCATTTTTTTGTCCTATTCCCGGATCAAAAGTCGTAATTCACTCTTATTTATTCATGATCTTGTTCTGCATTAAATGGTCATGGAACAGCAACTCTTTCAGATTAAAACCTCCACGATAGACACTATTGAAAAAAATACAAAATTATAAAATTTTAGGAAGAAAATAAATCTAAAAGAAATAACCTTATTGCCATATTCCATGGGTATGTATTTAGGTGAACTTACATTAAAATAAATATACTACTATAATAATTGCTAGAGTTAAAAATAAAAAAGAATAATGTAAACAATTATTTGGCTTCACCCTAAACAGGGAATCAATCATAATGTTTGACAACGATAATGCTTGAGGCAACCGTTGCTAAGCAACCAGTTAAATGTTATTTTTTGACATTTACACACGTGCATAATGGGTTTATTTGACATTAATTACATTTAGAAATATTTGACAATTATTGTTTCAATAAAGGAGAATCGCCCATTTCCTGTATAACATGGAAATGGCACTCATTTACTAAACTGAGAAATAATAGGTGTTACAATTTCAATTTGATGCGCATTTTTCTTTTTGTATTAAAAATATTCAAATACAAACGGCCACACACACGGTTTTGTGTCGTGACTAATTTTAACACAACATTAAACATGTCAACACAATTTAGAAAATAAAAACCATTCCAAAATATAAAAGAATCAACAATTTTCCGTTTCACTCCAACACACATTTCTACAAATTCCACCAAAAGTAATCTGATGGGCCCACCTCTAGTGGTACCCTAGGGGCCCCAAAATCCGCGGGCCGGCCCTGACCTCTTATGTTTTGAGATCCATATAAATATAAAACAGTGTCTGGCATGCTAACAAATATTAATGTTACTTGGTACATCAATATTTTACGTGTCTGGCTACCTGGTCTGAGTATCTGGACGTAAGGGGTATCTGGGTAATAACAAGATTTTTATTAGAAATGTAATCTTTTGAAATATGCTATTTCGGTTAAGTATACCACAATTTTGAAAATGATATGTCCCTTGGAAAATACTTCGTACTGAAAATTACAGGAGATAAACTCAACCTCAACCTAACCTCGAAATGAAATGCGTAATTGGGAGCCTCAATCACACGACGAAACACAACGCAAGCGTTGTTTCACGTCGGTCTTCTGTGAGGTCGTGGTATCACTCCGGTCGAGCCGGCCCATTCGTGCCGAAGCATGGCTCTCCGACCCTTAAATGTTAGTTCAACTAGTAAAATTTTTATCAGTATGTTCACATAAGTAACCTGCGATTTTTAATTAATTGAGTATGTATCACGATAGTAGAAAAAGGTGGATAAAAAAATTTCTTGTCCACTTTATTCATTCTCTATTATTTTCTTTCACACTAACCATCCATTTTTCCTATCAGGCACAGAGTTAGGTAACCTATTTCATAAATTAACTTATTTACATAAAACCCACCCAAAATTTATTTTTTCATTGCATTCCTTAATAAAATTTTCTAGAATATAAATTAGTTTTATATAGGCTTCATAAAATATATAGGCTTATCTTTAAGTGAGTTCCATAAACCATACTAGTTACGTAGTCAGGTACGTTGCCATGGCAACCGAATGAAAACAAAAACGTGCTGGAAGATTAGTGTCGTATATTGTTTTGTTTTTAAAAATGACTAAAAATAAAACGGGTGCCGTTTGGGAAGATAGAGAGGTGCTATTTGATTTACCATTCGCGTGAGTACCGAATATCTGATTTTTGTTAACTTGTTTTCTGTAAACATAATAAATAAATAAATAAGATAGCTTATTATTCAGATCCAACTTATAACTGTTACACAATTTAGAATTGCCATTACTTAGGTCTAGTATCTATATGAAATACCTATTACTGATTTTCTGGAGATCTGTTTGCCGGTCGGCAAAGGCCTCCTCCAACCTTTTGCATTCATGTCGTTCTTGAGCTCCTGTAAACATAGCTTACTTTTAATGGGACTAGCCCGCCACAACCTCCCAAAACCGCTGCAACTCCTGTAAGCCAGGATCTACAGTAGATACAACCATGAAAACACCGGAACACTGAAGTCCGGCGCGTCCCAGAGACATGAATAAATATCTTGGTTCCTGTAACAAAATAACATTATAAGAAGAACATATTTTCCACGTGGAGGCATAGCTAGATAAATTTGATGTTTTATGATTGTTATTTTTGTTAATGGCCTTGTGAACTGAGTGATCGTAATTACAAATTCCAAACATGAAGTTTTAGACACAATTTTCGACATTTTGATCTAGAAATTCTCAGTGAGTGAGTGATCGAGTCAAAAATAGTGTTATTAGAGAAAGGTGTGGATTGAAAGATGATGTAGTGACAAGGATTGAAAAGGTAATGTTACGCTGGCTTGGACATGTAGAAAGGATGAATGAAAGTAGAGCAACGAAAGAAGTATACAGAGCGGATATGAATGGGGCCGTCGGAAGAGGGCGCCCTAGACGGACATATAGTGACCAGATTGGCGATATATTAAAGAAGGGCCAAATTAAAAGTACCCTTAACCGACGAGCATGCATGAAAAGAATGATGACTGTTAATGAAGCGAAAGAGATATGTAAGAATCGAAGTAATTGGCGTTCCTTAGTCACTGCCTACCCCTTTCCCCCCCCCCTTAAATTTTTATTTTCCCGCCTTAAAAAAAAAAAACCCCATGGGAGACAGGCGTGAAGTTATGTATGTATGTATGTAAATTCTCAGTTATGGAACATGACCTTCATAATAACGTGTAAGAGTAACATTATTGGACTATAAGACCTTCTCTACCAGTGAGAATTTGCCTTTATCTCCACGCATGGTAATTGGCAGGCAAGTTGGAGATACAAGTTTAAAAGGTTTAGGTGTACCCATGGTGTACCAATCTGAGAGCGCTGCTGCATGGTCTCTGTCAGGTCCCCTCGGCTCTTAAGTCACCAATGGAAAGAACAGGACTGGTGCTATCACATGGCTAGGATGAAAGGGAGAAAAGATGGAATTCAGCATACTGTCTGATACTGTAAAAGTCTCTTTCCTAACTAAAATAGGACAGTTTCATAAATTTTATTTCAATGTCCGTCTGTTACAATAATTTAAAACTTTAAACACGTATTTTTTCTTTTCTCATAAAATTATATACTTTAAATATCGTGTGACGTCACAGAGTGCCACTTTTTTAGCACGTTATGACATAACAACCTCCCACTCCTAAACTTAGCGCCATTTTTTCTAAGTATTGCAACTTAATATGAGAAAATAAAAAATACACGTCGAATATTTTTTCATTATCTAACTGACGGACTAATTAGATTTTTAATTTTGACACCCTGTAAACTACTGAATTAGTCTAAGAGACTATACACTTATTGAAAACAATATGACACTTATCTCTGCTTATACCTAAGTGGCATTATGTCTGTTTTTCCTCCTTATGTAAATGGCTTATGATATTGTCGCTAAAACGAGCCAGTATCAAATGTCCCAGCTATTAACTGCGTAAGGCGCCCTCTACAAGATATGAAAATTAAATTAACATGTTTTAAAAGTTTATGCGAGACGGACTTTTCTTCATAATGCCGTTATTTATAACCTTCACATTTTTATTCAGATTTAAGGGAGAACTGCTTTTTATTCCCTCGGCACTGAGTTTCCTTGAGCTCTGTTTTGATATGAGAAATGTGTTTTTTTTTCTTCTATTCTCTAAAAATTAAACTGATTATAATTACTCATGCGATGTTATGACGAAAAGAAATGGTGTTTTGTTAATAGTTGTATGTATTTGGTTGTTTTAGTGGGAAGATTTTATTAAGTACTAGCTTCTGCCCGCGAATTCGTACGCGCAATCCCGATATCCCCGCAATCCCGATCCGTTCCCGTTCTTGATTTTCGGTAAAAAGTAAAAAAAAAAGAATTGGGTAAAAAGTATCCTATGTCCGTCTCCTGGTTCTAAGCTACCTCCCCACCAATTTTCATCCAAGTCGATTTAGCCATTCTTGAGGTATAAATAGTGTAACTAACATGACTTTCTTATATAGATTGATAGCTAACTCCAGAGAATTTTTGTAGCCTCCACTCCATTTTGGTTTAACGTTTGTTGGCATTGAATCTATGATTTTTGCTTACAAACGGGAGTGACGTCACGGACGCCGGTGACAGCTGACTTGTGTGTGTCGCCTCGGGTCAAATAAAATAAAACTACTGTTTTATTTGATATATTTTATTCGCGAAAAGTTCATTAGTAGATAACTGATTACATATATTGTGGACACCAGTAGTGAACCAAATTAAACGATCTTAGGATTAGTTTTGTACCAGCCCCAGTGTTACGGTGACTAAATCTACCCTGTTCGAAAAAAAAAAAATCCTTAACTTCTGTGTGAGTGTCGTGTGTGTGTTATCCCAAATACTGCAACACAAAATATCATGGCCAAATGCGGTGGATGCGGTCAATTCATTGCTGCGACAGCAAGCATTCGGTGTGGCAAGTGCGCGGTCTGCTACCACCGCGCCTGTGTGGGAGTACCGCCTTCAGCAACCCCCTCGCCTGCATGGCTGTGTCCTGGATGCAAGGCGAAACTTCCCAAGACCGACAATTCCGCGACACCGGTTAAAGGTGCAGCAGCGGATTGCTCGGTCCCAAATAGTCCCCCCACCGTCGCCCCCCCCCGTGAGTCTGGATTTGGCGCATGAGATCAGAGCTTTCAGGGAGGAGTTAAGCGCTCTAAGGGTTGATATACGCGAGCTACGGCAGGAAAATGCACAATTTAGAGCTGCCATAAACGGTTGCAATGAGCGGCTGGACGCGGTAGTGCACAGGGTGGACAGCCTCGAGCAGCGGTTCGAGGCGAAGGACCCCTCATCGTATGACCACCTGGAGGAGACGATCGCTGACTTAAAACTACAACTGAACGAGCGCGATCAGGACCTTCTGTTAAATGACGTCATCGTGTCGGGTATACCGGAGTCGAAGACCGAGAACCCGGCACACATACTTAAAACACTGTCGCTGAAGCTGGGGGTCGACCTTGACGATAGGGACATAGTAAACGTCGAGCGCCTCGGCATGGTACGTCGTAATTTTATCGCCGGTTCATCCCAGCACGATAACGGAGCATCCGCGGCCGCGCGCCATCGCGGTGCGCCTTTCTCGCCGTACGGTGCGAGACAAACTACTTCAAGCGGCGCGCGTGCGCCGCGGCCTCACCACTGCGGACCTCGATCTACACGGCCAGCCTCGGAGGGTGTTTGTAAACGAGCACCTGACTCGCTCAAATGCAAAGTTATTCAATCTAGCTCGAGAGGCTGGGCAGCGCTCAAAGTACAAGTACGTGTGGACAAGGGAGGGACGCATCTACGTGCGGAAGGAGGACGGCGTCTCTGCTGTGCGCATTCGCTCGCACGCAGATATCAGAAAAACTTTTGGGGACGGTTATGTTTGATGAGTGTGGGTGTTAATAGATATTTCTGTTCTGTTTGTGTATTTCATTTTGTTTTGATTTTTTTGCTATATACCCTTTATCTTGTTGACGACCTCGCGATATGTGCTATGTTACATTTATTTTGTATTAATTTTTCTGCTACGTCATGTTGTAAATTGGCATCCTCGGCAATGTATGTATGGGCTAAGGTTGGTATTCCTTGCAGTGACGGTAAATTTTATTGTATCCTGGTTTATGCGACCCTACTTATTATTGGATATTATTATGTATATGCATATGTGCCTGTGTTCTTGTTATACTGTGTTTCTATCTTTCTTTACTCATATATTATTTGTAACTCTTTAAGTAATGGCTATATTATAATAACAATCTTTTTTAACAGAAATCTAGATACTCTCGCAGGGAAAAAATATACCTATTTTTGTTTATATTTAATCCATGATATAAAATGACCCCGAAAGAGTTTAAAATTGGTTTTCTTAACGCCGGGTCTTTAGGCACAAATCATGACGAGTTTATAGCCGCAGTGGATCATCATGATGTTGACATCATGGCGGTAAATGAGACATGGCTCAGGGCGGGGGAGGAGGCGCGCGCGCCGTCGGTTCCCGGCTACCGGCTGCGGCATGTACCGCGTCCGCTGAGCGTGCGCGGCGGCCGCGGCGGTGGTGTCGGATTCTTTATAAGATGCGGAATAAACGTACGGGCGCATTCCCACCCTACTGACCCTACACATACGTCGGTCGAACAGATGTGGCTCGTGTTTACCATAAACGGTATGAAGCTTGCCATAGGGACCGCCTATCGGCCGCCGTGGTTGGATGTGGACACGTTTCTGGACGCTCTGACCATGTCTGTAAATTCGTTAACATTCTGCGACTACACTGTGTTGTTGGGCGATTTTAATATAAATTTTATGAACACCTCACCACCTGACAGTAAATTAAACAAATTGCATATTTTTTTAAATTGCCTGAGCCTCAATCAGTTAGTAACATCGCCTACACACTTCACAACCAACAACTCGAGCCTTATAGATTTGGTGTGTACAGACGCAAGAGTTACTGATGTCAATGTGTACCCAATACAAGCTCTCGGTGCTCATGCATTTATTACAACTACTCTTCGTATAAAAAGGGAAAAAATCCGGCCTCGAATTGTAACTTATAGGGATATCAAAAACATTAACTTAGAAAATTTCAAAGAGGCTCTGGACGCGATCGACTGGCGTGGGGTAATTTCTTCTCATGACGTGGACTATATGGTGTACT